CGCTTTGTTTTCTTCCACGCACCCATGCATGCTTGGCTGCATGCCTGATGAGCTCGGTTAGTTGTATCGGGTCTGGACAAGGCACACGGGCCTGTCTGCTGCGCGTAGCTCACCCAGACAAAGTTAAGAAATTACATGACTGAGGATGCTGCCTCGTTCGCTGTCCCCCTGCAGAGCACCTGCTACAACGCAAACGACGCGCTCGCCAAGATCGAGTGGTATGCAAGTAAGTTATCATTGCTGTTGCTTGCTTGCGTAGTCTTCTATCGTTTCAACGTTTCTTAGATAAGACCCGTCCTTTCAACCTGGGCAGACATGCATGGATATGTGGGAGTACGGCATGCGAATGGATATGGATATGTGCAAACTTCTACTGTCGCAGCATGATGTGAACTCTGGCCCTGCCGGCTGCACACATACGCATACATGACTTCCGTAATGCGAGCAGACTGCAGCATAGCACCCAGTACGGCAGCATCAGTGGTTAACCTTTTTTGGTCCTCGCTACAGCCTAGGGTTTCACCTGCCGTGCATTTTGGCTTGTGTTTCCATGACTGCAGGTGATGCGTTCAGGTCGGCGGTCAAGGGTTTCACGGTGTACCCCGCCGGGGGATCAAACAAGACCATTGCCGACAGCTGGGGCGCCACTGGAACCGATACCCTGAAAGGTGAGGCCGGCAAGCTAGATAGCAGCTCAGGTAGATGCACCTCGTGCGGGGCTCATTCGCTGCTTCGATTGTGGATTCTGTGCGGCACTTACCTGCCGTGTGTCACAAGGGTAACTGTCGTGCGAGACCTTCACTTACAATACACTCGAGGAAATCTCGACGGACCTGCATCTCGGAAGGCCTCTTCGATGACCCTATCAAAAGATCAGCAATAAGCTCCAACAGTGTATGAAGATTGACGGAGCTGTCAAGCTCAATAACATAATCCCGAAAATGGCAAGCACTACGGCTACTGTATAAAACCCAGCGCAGAGGCTACACTCCCTTCGCTCCTGGCGCATCTAAGCTGCAATTACAATTACAGTAACTCTGTTCAGTAGCCAGCCATGCGCCGGTTTGTTTGTACCGTACCTGTCCAATTGCCATGTGCTGCACCATCACTGCTAATGCCTGCATGTCAAATAAGATCACATCGTTCCCTGCCTGCGCATCCTTTTGTTCGTGTGTGCAGTCAATCTCAACTGGAACCTGCTGCAAGCCAACGGCGGCAAGGTTTGCGTGGCGATTCAGAACCCGTTCACCATGGGCGACATCTGCAAGGGAGCCCTTGGCCAGTGGTAAGTCCTGAGGCAGGGGTTTGCGTGGCCTATCCTTCTCAACTCAACTAACGAATGTACGGCCGCGCCACGTGCAAGACACGCGTATTTCCTTCCCACACTAATAATACTCCTTCATGCCCCTGCTGTATCTTGCCTGCGCCCGTGCAGCTACGCCAGCATCTTCAACAGGGACAACTCGGACTACTGCTGCCCCATCTACCGCACGGGGCCATGATTGCCGTAAGAGCAGTCATGGCGCTGGAGAGCGCAGCAGCCGGAAGTAGGGGTAGAAGTTGTTGTTGCTACAAGTGCAGCAGCAGGCAGAAGATAAGGAGCACTATATGGCATCTTAGTACTGCATGAATGAACTGACATATAGACATGTTTACAGATCATCAGTCGGCAGGTGTTTCACTTTATCTCTTCATTCGGTTGCAGCAGTCGATAGATAGATAGATAGATAGATAGATAGACGAGCTAGACAGTATGATTGATCTGTTGGACGGAATCGTTTCCTTTCCCCGACACAACTGCTCATAGAAATATTTTCTTTAATGATTGATCGATGTACCACAATTCCTCTCGAACAGTTACGAGGCTAGGCACGCGGACAGGCGGGCTAGGCAGGTGCTGCTGTGCTGCGTATATCTATTAGGATGGTGGCGCAGGGGTTTCTATGGTGGGTTTGCATGTTGCCATAGACACCGCGGCCGAATGTGCACGGTTTATTAAATGATAATGTGGCTTGTGAAATTAACGCAAGTAGCTCGCGAGCAGCGGCTAGTTGGTCAAGTGGACTGAGTCTGAGCATGACGTGGTGGGACGCGGTGCGGTCTATTTGGAGCACTAAAGTACATCTCGTCATCAGCAGGCTCTGCTGGGTCCTGCGGGTGGCGCAAGTTTGAAACGAACGCGCGGTGGCACATTCTCGTGGGTGTCTTCACCAAGGAGTTCCAAATCCTAAGAACAAGGTTAGCCCAATGGAACTGCAGTGGCGTCTGAGGTAGCTGACGGTAGAGACAGATCACGGTGATACAGTAACCTTTTACCGGGGCACATTGTGGCGACTGGAGCCGCATGACCGTCCCCGTCACTTTGTAACCGCTCAAACTGCACGATAACTCCAACCCACACCGTCTTCAATGCGGCAGCTTGCGACGGTTTCGCAGATCTTCCGAACTGCTCCAATAGCAGCTTGGGATCGACCCGTCATTTCTGCACCAAGTCGCAAAATAATGACAGATCCTAGGTGGCCGTGGTTATATGCTTTGCCACGTTGTAGAGTCCGAACTATATTGTCTTCCCTATGGGCACCCATGGCCATGCTGGATGGCGAAGCACAGTGGTGAGCGGCCTAAGGTAGCTCTCCGACCAGGAAAACATCACCAGTGCACAGCTCGTCATAGCGATGAATGTTGCAGGGGTGCAAAGGCATGTTCCACCACACCATTACGAGCAACCTTAGGACCGCGTTCCCCCAGGTAAACAGGGGAGGTTTCAGGGGCTAGATATACTGGTCCAATAAGCAGGGTGCTATTGATGCAGGCGGTAATGTAGCACCCTCCCTCATCCGACGTACCTCACTCCCTGCACATGTAGAGCCCCTGCGTAGAACGGCTATCTGTGATGAGGGGGAGTCCCTGGTATAGAGGCCAATCATGCAAACTCGCTGTGCAGTGCTTCATCAGTTAGGGAGCATGTGCCGTTGTTGGACATTCGGGGACTGCGGGACAGCATTGTCAACATCGTTGCAGGCCCTGTAATGGGCCACATCATGCAGTAGGTTTCTAGCGGTTTCCGAGGCCGAGGTCATTTTGCCGGGGTGTACGGCATTGTTGCGGGTTGCGGGAAGTTGTACAGGTAAATGCACCGGCCACATTTACCAACATTGCTTTAAATATAAGTAGACAACCGAGAAAGAACCAAAAGATGTCGGAAAGAATTTGGGCAGAGGCCGAAGCTCGCCTGGCAAGCACTGCGCTGAACGGATAGAGAGAGACACGAATAAGAAGTGTACAACGGGGCCTCAATAGGCTTTGGGGTCCATAGATACCGGGCGCCCTCGCTCTCAGGCATTAAGTCTCGGACGCGGGCCACAAGACCTGGAGCTGCTTGGCTGTTCCCTCTCGTCCCCCCCCTTCAGAAGAAAAACTCTGACCACTATCCCTCTCTCCAGTTCCCTCTCAGTCTGGGTGGTGCAATACCAGACCCCTCGCCACACACACCGCCACCTCAGCACCAAACCGTCACATTACGCTGCAAACATTGAGTCACGTTTGTTAGGCGCTAGCACGCTGTTGTATGAATTAGTTTCTGAGTCTATGTTGATGTGGTTTGGTCCCGTTGCTGATGCAACTGGCTTTCGCATCATTAACCGCCGAGTAGCAGCCGTAGCTACCGGTGCGGAAAACGATGCATGCTCACCAACCTAAATGATGAAGGGTGTGTGGCGAAGTTATATTCATTATGCCAGGATCAGAGCTGTTGGTCAGTAAATATCAAGTTATATAAAAGAAATGGTGCTACAGATTACAACGACGGGTCGGATTCCGACACGTACAACACGAGCAACATCCCAACGGATGAAATGCACATTTATATGTGTCTGCGATTAACGAATTCTGGGCCGTGTTTCTGAGATTTATATTCAGCAGAAGGTGTTTGCTTCCCAAGGACAAAGCGTATCTGTTGCGGTGGCCAGTCCGGAAGCGGCTACCTGCGCCCGCCGTTTACGGTAGACGTACGGGCAAGCAGCAGCACAGCTGCAGCGGTCGGTCGGGTAGATAAATAGCGCAATTATGATACAGAATATCATCAAATTGACATAGCTCTGACAACATGGCATCCTTTGCAAAGGCGGCTTTCATTTTGGCGACAGCGCTGGCGGTTGGCTGGTGCGTTTTTAGCATGGTGCATTCCCATATGCCTGGGCTTTCGCTCTGAGGTTTGGCCTATATGTATATATAAGAGCATGCCATATACATGAAGGCTTTCAGTCTTTGCCTTTGCATCGCAAAAGACGTACATGTCCTGTCGCATGCCATAGTGATGAGCCTTTTCTATAAAGCAATACATAAACTACAAGCATAACTTGATCATGAAACAGCAAGCATCAACCATGAGCACTGACCTTGCTTGCTGCTTGTCGCCGCTGGTTCCAGGGCGCTCAGCGCTCATGCGCAGGAATACAACGAGTACGATGGCTCAGCTGTCACGCCTGGCAGCATCCCTAACTTCCCATTCCGCAACTGCAACACCACAAACGGCGCGTACCGGCTGGCACCGGTGTGGCGGCCTTCGGGCAGCAACACGTACTGCTTCAAGATCCAGGTCAGCCAGGATGCCCTGTCCTGCACTGGCGCCTGCTGCAGCGCCGACTTGCACAAAATTGAGGTGAGCCCACGGCCGTCTGATGGCGTGGGGGATGCGACATGCGAACACATTGCTACAGGTCCTAGGGCCTCGGAAAGCACGGGAAGGCGCTCAAGATGTCGGTGTTGGGGGCTCTGTTACCATCCTAGCTGCTCAGGGGAGTGTTTGTCTAACCAGGTTTTGGAACGCGCCTCGCAAGATTTATATAGCTCATTTGCATGTACTGGAGAGAATGTGAACTTCGTACCCTCAAAAGTAGAGGGAACACCACATTGTGATGTTCCCTCCTGCCTCACCTTGCCCTCACTCCATCCTCCCACCACATGCCATCCCGCCATGTCCGCAGTTCAACGTGTCCAGCAGCTGCCTGGTGGCCGGGGCTTCAGTTGTCGCCACCGTGAATGGAGTGCGGACCCGGGTTGGTGCGACCCTGGACAAGGCCCCGGCTGGGCCCGCTGGCTCTGCCGTTCTGCGGCTCACCCAGCTTGGGCTGGACACCACGACCGCCCAGGATGCGGAGGTGTGCCTCACCCTCAAGACCAACCGCGGAGGCCAGGGCTGCACCACCCTGGAGCAACTGTGCTCGTCGCCAGGCTTCCCCGCAGGGACATGCACAGCAGCTATGTTCGATGTTGCGTGTGATTGCTGCCCGGTTTCTCAAGCCGGTCAGGCCCTCCCGCCGCCGCCACCGGTTATTCCAACGGCCATACGCCCTTGTGACGTCTGCATCGCCGCGACCATTGTGCCCCCGGCCAATGATGTGCGACCATACCGCTACGACAGCGCCACCTGCGCCGCCATTCAGCAGAACATCGCCGACATCATGAACTCTCTCCTGGAAGCCGCCAACGTCGGCGCCTTCAAACCCTTCGCGCCAAATGCAAGCCGGTGCTTTGACACACAAATCATTACATGTGGCAGGTTCAACGGTTCGGACAGTGATGCGTTGGCCCTTCTGACGGAAGCGGTGCAGCAGCAGCTTTCCGCCTTCATCGAAATCGCGTCTGGCGGCAACGTCTGCAATCCAAAGTTGGAGAAATACACGGTGACGGTCTCCACCATCAACAATGTAGCAGATCAGTGCCTGGACCTCTCGCAGTCGGCTAGTTGCTTCCTGCCTGGCGTTCCATTCCCCAACTGCACGTGAGTCACCCTACTTCATGGTGTCGTCTCTTTTGCGGCGCAGCCGCCCTCCGTAAAGATTTGGGGGCGAGGATGTAGGGCCTAATAACCAAAGCTTCCTCCCGCAATGGATGAACCCATGTTTGGGATCTGGCTAGCGTCTTTGTCGTGTATGCAGAGCTTTGGATGAATGGCTGAAGGCAAAGACACCGCGCTTGCATGGATACCTTGCTCACATGGGCTATGTGAAAATATCGGGAACGTTGGGTGAATGTGTGATAGTACTAGTTACCGATCCTGCTGCCGCCTCCGCTCGCCTTCTGACGCGCAGGTGCAACACAACCCAGGGAGTCATGCCGTTCACAGTCTCCCCCACCTGGTATGCACAGCCGGCCAATGTGCGCTGGGGCCGCAACGTCACTGAGTACTGCTTCACCGTCAACACGCTACAGCCAAGTCAGGTCGTGCCGGTGAGGCCAGATAGGTGCATGGAGGACCCGTGGGGTGGCGCTTTGTTTTCTTCCACGCACCCATGCATGCTTGGCTGCATGCCTGATGAGCTCGGTTAGTTGTATCGGGTCTGGACAAGGCACACGGGCCTGTCTGCTGCGTGTAGCTCACCCAGACAAAAAAAAGAAATTAAGAAATTACGTGACTGAGGATGCTGCCTCGTTCGCTGTCCCCCTGCAGAGCACCTGCTACAACGCAAACGACGCGCTCGCCAAGATTGAGTGGTATGCGAGTAAGTTATCATTGCTGTTGCTTGCTTGCGTAGTCTTCTATCGTTTCAACGTTTCTTAGATAAGGCCCGTCCTTTCAACCTGGGCAGACATGCATGGATATGTGGGAGTACACATACGCGTACATGACTTCCGTAATGCGAGCAGACTGCAGCATAGCACCCAGTACGGCAGCATCAGTGGTTAACCTTTTTTGGTCCTCGCTACAGCCTAGGGTTTCACCTGCCGTGCATTTTGGCTTGTGTTTCCATGACTGCAGGTGATGCGTTCAGGTCGGCGGTCAAGGGTTTCACGGTGTACCCCGCCGGGGGATCAAACAAGACCATTGCCGACAGCTGGGGCGCCACTGGAACCGATACCCTGAAAGGTGAGGCCGGCAAGCTAGATAGCAGCTCAGGTAGATGCACCTCGTGCGGGGCTCATTCGCTGCTTCGATTGTGGATTCTGTGCGGCATTTACCTGCCGTGTGTGAAAAGGGTAACTGTCGTGCGAGACCTTCACTTACAATACACTCGAGGAAATCTCGACGGACCTGCATCTCGGAAGGCCTCTTCAATGACCCTATCATAAGATCAGCAATAAGCTCCAACAGTGTAGGCAGATTGCCGGAGCTGTGGAGCTGTCAAGCTCAATAACACAATCCCGAAAATGGCAAGCCCTACGGCTGCTGTACAAAACCCAGCGCAGAGGCTACACTCCCTTCGCTCCTGACGCATCTAAGCTGCAATTACAATTACAGTAACTCTGTTCAGTAGCCAGCCATGCGCCGTTTTGTTCGTAGCGTACTTGTCCAATTGCCATGTGCTGCACCATCACCGCTAATGCCTGCATGTCAAATAAGGTCACATCGTTCCCTGTCTGCGCATCCTTTTTTTTCGTGTGTGCAGTCAATCTCAACTGGAACCTGCTGCAAGCCAACGGCGGCAAGGTTTGCGTGGCGATTCAGAACCCGTTCACCATGGGCGACATCTGCAAGGGAGCCCTTGGCCAGTGGTAAGTCCTGAGGCAGGGGTTTGCGAGGCCTATTCTTCTCAACTCAACTAACGAATGTACGGCCGCGCCACGTGCAAGACACGCGTATTTCCTTCCCACACGTTTAGACCACAAGTTGCACACGTGTCAATTAGCAGCAGTGGTAGTAGGGATGAGTGTGCCTGATTGCTATGTCGCTAATGATACTCCTTCAGTAATACCCCTGCTGTATCTTGCCTGCGCCCGTGCAGCTACGCCAGCATCTTCAACAGGGACAACTCGGACTACTGCTGCCCCATCTACCGCACGGGGCCATGATTGCCGTAAAAGCAGTTATGGCGCTGGAGAGCGCAGCAGTCGATAGATAGATAGATAGACGAGCTAGACAGGGGAGGGGCCATGATTGATCTGTTGGACGGAATCATTTTCTTTCCCTGACACAACTGCTTGTCGTAATATTTTTTTGTAAATATTGATCGATTACCACAATTCCTCGAACAGTTACGAGGCTAGGCACGCGGACAGGCGGGCTAGGCAGGTGCTGCTGTGCTGCGTATGTCTATTAGGATTGTGGCCCAGGGGCTTCTACTGTCGGTGTGCATGTTGCCATAGACACCGCGGCCGAATGTGCACGGTTTATTAAATGATAATGTGGCTTGTGAAGTTAACGCAAGTAGCTCGCGAGCAGCGGCTAGTTGGTCAAGTGGACTGAGTCTGAGCATGACGTGGTGGGACGCGGTGCGGTCTATTTGGAGCACTAAAGTACATCCCGTCATCAGCAGGCTCTGCTGGGTCCTGCGGGTGGCGCAAGTTTGGAATGCCCCATACCAGTTGAATTGTAAACCCTAACTTGCACAACGACCCCCCCCCCAATAAGATATTTTGATGCATACATCTGAATCAGGTGGCTGGCAGAAGTTAAGGCCTGACTTCTGCTCTCGGAGGTTCCTGTTTCAAATCCGATGGCCGAACCCTCGGGTGTGTGAGGGATGTTGAATTGGGAGGTGGTCCCCCATCTTGTGGACGGTATAGGACGTTAATATAGCAACATGCGAGCTGACCAGGAACGAAGGTTTACTTTTAGTTGGATGCTGGTGGGGAGTTGCTGAACCCAACGCGTACATTCTGAAATTGGATGGGGTGAATGGATTAGGGTGCCCCTCTCGCAGGGGTGAGCAGGGAAATGCCTCAGGAAAGGGGGCCGCTAGTGAAGCAGTACCACCCTGTAATATCATCATCTTAAGTGCGGAAGTCATCCACTTGCATGCCTCGAGTCTTTAAGAATGATGGGGGCAAGCTTTCTCCCTTACGGGAGGGTTAGGCACTTAGTGCAGTCGTGACAGTGTACGAGAGGAAGAGTATTCGTCCACACGTGTAGTGATAACTGGCCGGGAGGTACATGAGCATGACAGTCCTCCAACACTACCCTCTCCTGAGCGACCCACTCCAGAGAGCTTACGTTTAATAATGTGTTATAGCACGACCTCAGAAAAGTGCCGATCGGCGGATGCAGATCCCGTGATAAGCCCAGGATACTACAGAGCTCCTGCAGGCTTTGCGACTGTGGGGCGGTTGAAGGTGTAATGCATGTTTTCGCGGAATGCCTTGCTTACACAAGTAGACGGGCTAAATACGAACGTGACCTCGCGTTTCAAAGGCGCGACATGTGCACGATTATGACCGAGCCCCCACCCCTGGCATTAGCCAGGTTCCTCTCGGAAGAAGTCTGGGAGACCCGGCACGTTTCTCTAAGGCGCTGCATGCTGAAGCGGACGAGGGAGGACGATGATGGTCCACCATGTAACCGCACCAAAGACGGTTTACCGTCCATGGTCCCCCCGCATGTTACGGACACCCCTGCACTTGTGTGAAACTTGCAACTTGTAGCTTTTGATCCCAGCCATGCATGACAGCAGGCTGCAAGTGTTGCTGTAGTAGCTGGCCGCTGAAAAGGTCTCTCGAGATGCTGGTGTTCGCGCTTAGCGCGTATTTGTAGAGCCGTACTGTGTACCAGCTACTACAGTTGCACTTCCTACCTGCAAAGCAAGTCAACGACGTGTCGTTGCGGAGGGCGTACCCTGTCAGAAGAGTCGACGTCAACTGAACACCCTGCACCTAGGTCAGCAAAAAGGCAAGGGTTTCGAACATACAGTCGCCTGCCGTGTACAGATACTCTACACATCGCATTACCCTAAGTCCTCCAACCGTCAGCACCGCGTCCAACTCCACGCGCCACATGGAAGACATTCCATTGCTGCATAGTCAATCCCTGCTGTAAAAGCGCACAAGTCAGGATGTGTACACGAGCGACAACAGACGCCGGTACAGGAGAACTGCCCAGCAGATTGAGCAACTCACGGTACCCCAGCGTAGAATGTAACGCTGCGTGAACGCTAGGATGAAGACAGTTTATATATGCGGCCAATGGCAACGTTTGCCGCACACGTGGTTTCGTTGTCAAGGGGGCTGACAGGCATTGTAGGCATTGACGACAGAAACACCGTGTTCAACTTGATTGAATACGTTATCCTGCAGCGAACCTGCGTTTCAATTCCCGAAAACAGACAATGAGCTTGAACAATGTCGACTCGGAACGGAGATCCCTTCAAACGGCAAGGACACTTTATTGCGACTCAGCAAGGACACTTCATTTCGATTCATGCGACTCATTTGCCGAGTTTTGGCTAAGCAGGGGCCGCGTGTTTCAGAACTCAGAGGGTTGCAAAGATTGGGGATTGGGGCCAGGTACTGGTCAGGCGGGATGGGGAATAGGGTGATGACGTCAGGATGGGATGTGGGGGCCAAGGCAAGGATAAGGGATTAGGCGTGCTACACAACTATTAGGATGGAGATTGCTGTCAGGGTGAGGATGGGGATGGGAACCCTGTCAGAGGGATGGGCTTTGAAACCTTGACCAAGAATGGGATTGGGAACCCTGGCCAAGGATGGGGATGGGACCCTGGCTGACAGGATGGGGATTGCAGGCTGTCGCAGGTTTAGGATGGGCTCGCCGCTGCAGGATGAGGATTGGGGACACAGCTGGAGGATTAGGATGGGGGTTCCGAGGTAAGATGAGGGCTCAGAACCGCTGAACCTTTTGCGTCATTGCTCGGCACAAACTCTGACAACACTTGTCAAGCATGACTGCGTTGAACCCGTACCATTCAGACTCGACTCAGTTAACAGAGTGTTAACTCGCTTTTATGCCTGCGATTTCCGTTCACGTACAACTTGTCACTGTTCTGGCGATTGCAAAATGCCCCTCCGCGAGTTGTGCCGTCAACCCAAGGCCTGCCAGTTATCATTACACCTAGATACATGTAGTATTTTACTGGATCGCAGGTCTTCTCAATTCATCTGTACGGCATGCAACCTCTTGCCGTTATGTCCGTAAACTTTGCCTACTTCAGGCTCGCTTTGATTGTGTTCCTTCTTCAATCCGTTTCAGTGCACCTTTCATCATCCCTTCCTTTCATTGCATTAACGAGCAGCCCTTCCTCGGGGATGTCGATTTCCTGTAAGGGTGAGAGGTAACGCATATGTCTGGCATACGCGACATGTGCTCGTCTCCAGCATGTCAGCTTTATTTACAGCACAGCTTATACAGTGTCATACTCTTGTGTCGTGTGTGTTTCTTTGCCCGACGACGGAAGTGGCCTTTTGAGTGCGTCGTCATGACCTTAATTAAGTACCCAGTGGGCCCAGCATGCGTTCTTGCTCCAATATAGGAACTTTTTAGTAGCTTTTTTATACTGTGTCCTGCAATTGTGTTGTGTCCGTTTCATAGCCTGACGGCGATAGTGCTTTAAGAGTGATTTCTAAATACTTTGGGAGCCGGGTGACGGGCACGCCAACGCCTCGAGGCAGGCTTAGGGTGTATTTCCAGTGCGGATTAAGGCCAGGGATTAAGGTCCCGCTATTCCCGGCTAATCCCCGGCTAATCCCTGGCAATTCTTAAGGCCTGGGATTAGCGCTGGGATTAAGGCCGTACAAAGGCCGATGTATACTTTCTATGTGATTCTGAAGCTAAAATTGTGAAGTTCTGAACTAGTTTGGGCATTAGGAATTGAATCAGTATTAGATATGAACAGGAAGCGCACTCTTCTCGCCGTTCATCTCTTCATCACCTTTTGAGCAACCCAAAACAGGAATTGCTTATTTGAGATCATATATATGGAACTACCTAGAAATTAACGTCAGACATCGCGCCGTGAATGCTAATCCAGATACGGAAAGATACTACCTGGCTCGAGCCAGGTAATAACTTTTTTGTCACAGGTTGCCAGGTAAATACATGGGTATCAAGTTCAGTTTATGTTCTTTCCTAATCTCTTGCTAGCTCCCGCTAATCTTCTGATTAGAGAACACGGTGTCCTGAGGAATTTCTTAATCCCCGGCTAATCCTGCTTAATCCCGGTGGGATTTCCACTGCCGGGATTAGCGCAGGGATTAACGCTAATCCCTGGCCTTAATCCGCACTGGAAATACACCCTTAGGGTGTATTTCCAGTGCGGATTAACGTCGGGGATTAACCCTCTGTCGTCCATCGATACTTGCTCAAACGGCTAAGTTGTTGGCAAACTTACCTCGCCTTTCTAACCTTTGGTTCCCTTATGGAACGAAACTATGTGGTAAGCTCCTACCAAGGACTTCCGTGCCCTAATCCCTGGCCTTAATCCGCACTGGAAATACACCCTTATTGTACTATTCACAGCAAAAGGTGCAGCACTACCAGTGCAGCAATCTTAAATAACATAAATATTAGTTTTTCTACTACCCTGCTATATGGCTTCATCATGGTTTGGAGTCCTCTGCTATCTTTTTACAAATGAGGCCTGCTGAATGCCTGAAATCTCGCTATTTTATGCGCAGAATGTGCAAAATAGATTAAAAAAAGCGTTGGTGATGAATTTAAAAGAGTTTACCAGCCAGCAGCCACCATCACCGTCGCGAAAGAAACGCTGTCTTCGTTAAGTTTGCCATGATGTTATGTGTGGGTTTCTTTGGTATGAGGAAAAATGCTTCAGGTGGGCCCTACGCCTCTACCCAGCAGCGTGCGCAGGTAGCAATCTCCCAACCCCACAGCAGCAGACACACATTGTTTACCGAAAGTAATGCTATTTTTTCAAAATGATCTGAACCTTAATTTTATTATGACCTAGTACTTTTGCATTTTACCGGATGCTGGCCGTACATTAATTGGGTTCCTAATCTAGCCAGGCGTTGAGATTCGATGCATCCATTCACATACTGATCCTGATGTGCGATAAACAGCTCAGCAATAAAACATTACCATGTTTAGTAATCAATCAAAGATTGCGGATGTGTATAACTAACTCTACGCTTGAAATTTAATGAAAACAATAATTAAAATAACAGGCTCGTATTCTTTGCATGAAGGACGTTTTTGACGTAAATGAAACTGCGAGCGGAGGGTGCGTGGAATTAAGACGATGGCACTCCCAGAGAATATGCGCGATCTAAAGCGCGCTTCCAGCATTTCGAGAAGCTTTTATGGCGGCCAGCTATTTAATACACCGAAGTTGCCATTCCGCGGCAGAGCGGATTAAGGCCGCTGGTGACTGGATCCGGCAGTACACGAAGCCAAAACAGGGTATGGTGAACGATCCCACCGAGTACCCCGAATCCCCACCCACCCCGAGTCCCCACCCCACGCCAAAAGACCTGGACACCGATATACCCAACCGCATCATTTGGTTGGGATACCTGGTTGATCAATTATAACACAGCTGCAACTGCTCAGAGAAAAGTACCGCTCGGCGGATGCAGACCTGCGATATGCCCAGAATACAACACATATGCATGGCCTGCTGCGGGTCAAACAGGGCATGGCAATCAAGTTTTGCAATGTCCACCAGCCCGGTGGATCCTGAAGATCCCCGGCCTAGCTGGTGTATGTTTCTCATGCTTATCGAAGTATATGCTTATCCAGCTGCCCAAGCGGCCCCCTAAAGTCAAGATGAAACTTGCCAATCACAGATTATTCCGCCTTTCATTATATTCCGACTAAATGTAGTAGCTGGCCGCTGGAAAGGCCTTTACAGATGCTGGCGGAGCGCCTTCGCGTGTTCTTTTTATGGACGATATCAAAGCTAGCACTCGGCCAAAGCCTAGTTAACGGCGAAGCATGGTCTTTTATTTTATACTTTTTCGACTTCGGAGGACACCTAGAGTGACACCCCAACGGGGACTTAGACTAAGACCGAAGAGGGGACACGAGGGGACGTTGGAGTTAACAACGTTGTTCCACTGTCATCATTCCCTTTAGGGGCTTTGTGTCCCTTTTGCCATACCCATACCCTTTAGTTTATATGTGCGTGCATCACAGTGATCATGATACCATGCACAGTGCGTACTACAGTACTACATGGCATGCTGGGAAAAAGCAAAATTAAAATTCCTAGCTACATACTATGCATCACTTAACATTCGGCGTTGGTCAATAATTAGGGCTCTGCTGTACACAAGCTGAAATGATGCAGGTGGTCTTTTGTTTTCAAGAGGGGAGCACGTGCCACGTGGCCAGTGGGTTCCTTACAGCCAGCTACGGTTCTACGGCGAGCTTTGTTTCTCGCGCACCACCATCACCCCGGTCCCAGCACACAACATCCGTACGAAACGAACTCGGCCGAGCCTGAAGGACTTTGCATGTCGTATACGGCATGGCATCCCCACAAGTCGGCACAGAATCAGTCATGTACGGGATGCACGAACTGCTGAACGGCGACCCATTACAAGCAAAAGCTAATATTCTAAGCGACTGGCCGTCGATGAAAATCAAAATACGGCGTCTGGATGAACCAGCTGTAGCCGGGCTCCATTACTTATTTTACCCTCCTGCCTCGCCTAAGGGAAGAGCGAATCAGCGTCCATCCAAGCCAAATCCATACTCAAACGTCCACGGCAGATTGCGCTTGCATAGCGGCATATGTGGGCAATTCACATATGCATGTTAGATGGCTGGCTGGTCCATGCATGGCAGATGCTCGTCTTCTGCCAACATCGCTTTTCATTCGCGACAAAAACCCAGCCACGGGCCCGGCTGCTATTTGCTGCGTGGTTCACTTGTCTGAATAGGCACGTACGCCGAAAATTCCTTCAACGACGCCTGCAGGACAAATACCCCGTTTTAATCCTGTATGTCATTGCTTTAAGGCAACGTAAGGAACGAGCCAACCTCCGCCTGGCCATCACTACAGAATCGCACATCGGCCCGGTCCGGGCTGGGCCCGGGCCAGTGACATCACATCAATCAATCAACGCGAGACATTAATAACAGCATGCCATTGTGTGACGCGAACCCTGTGCCTGTTTAACTTGTTGAATGCGCGCTCGCTCGGGTGCGTGGCCAGCTTGATGGCTTAGTTAGGACGTGCATGCAAGGAATGGCCTAAATAGGCTCGTAACGAAATACAAATCGGCAATCGTTTGCGTCTGATGTAGGACCTAGGAAGACCTCTCCAATCTTCAAGGGAAAAGGGAGGTCTTTTGGAGCACCTCTGGAACAAATCAATCGACCCACACGCACTGCTGCTGGCGATGTAAGAGTGACATGTACACCACCAGCCCACACCTCTACACTTGCCTAATAAGAAATGGAACGCCGTCAAATGCGCATGCAGGGGATGCCGTATACAGGCAGGCTGACGGCCAGCCCGCATGGGGGGGATTTTCCGCTTGCGTGCTCACATTGCCATCAGTCCTACATGTATCCTGGCAAATGCCTGCCGCTTTCCTAAAGAGGGCAAACTTTTGTTACTTTCTATGTAACTGAGCTCATCACCTCCAAAAAACTTATAATAGTGACATCGGCTGTCACAACTCAAAAGTCTCATACCGCACCATGGGGATTGCCTACAACAGCATTTTGCAGATCCATGTACTGCAATTCCGCGCTTTTGGACGTACCCACGTGGGCCAGGGGACCAGCACCGGGGCCGCAGGGCAGCTGACGTCTCCCTAGCTGTTGGCAACTCCACCCCTTGCTCCTTACATGTAAGACCCACCCATGCACCTTAGTCCAGGTTTGATTTCATCATCAGAGCGTGCCTCGTCATTGCACCACATGGAGCCGGCAGCTGGACCTCGGTTCTGAGTGCGCAACAACACCTGCAGCTGCCGGCTGTCACCCATCATGCTCGTGCACCCGTCAAGGCCCCGTGCGGTAGATGGGGCAGCAGTAGTCTGAGTTGTCCCTGTTGAAGATGCTGACGTAGCTGCACGGGCGCAGGCAAGAGTGGGTGGCGGAAAGAGAATTAGTGACATATCAGCCAGGCAGCGCCATCGCACAAAGGTAGGGCCGAGGAGCTGGGAGCGGATGCAGGACTACTGGATAGGCTGACGCCCTCTGTGCTGTGATGGATGGATGGATGGATGGATGGATGGATGGATGGATGGATGGATGGATGGATGGATGGATGGATGGATGGATGGATGGATGGATGGATGGATGGATGGATGGATGGATGGATGGATGGATGGATGGATGGATGGATGGATGGATGGATGGATGGATGGATGGATGGATGGATGGATGGATGGATGGATGGATGGATGGATGGATGGATGGATGGATGGATGGATGGATGGATGGATGGATGGATGGATGGATGGATGGATGGATGGATGGATGGATGGATGGATGGATGGATGGATGGATGGATGGATGGATGGATGGATGGATGGATGGATGGATGGATGGATGGATGGATGGATGGATGGATGGATGGATGGATGGATGGATGGATGGATGGATGGATGGATGGATGGATGGATGGATGGATGGATGGATGGATGGATGGATGGATGGATGGATGGATGGATGGATGGATGGATGGATGGATGGATGGATGGATGGATGGATGGATGGATGGATGGATGGATGGATGGATGGATGGATGGATGGATGGATGGATGGATGGATGGATGGATGGATGGATGGATGGATGGATGGATGGATGGGACTAGAATAAGGCCAAATCAGCAGACCTCTCTAAGAAGAACAAGGAGAGCATGTGCACCCCATCGATTCGACCTTCGGCACTTCAAGACTTGCGGCGTTGTGGATTCGATGGCTGCTCATGGTTACTTTGGTCGTCTAATCTTCCAATACGCTTCATTCAACAACTCATGCAAGTGGTAT